TCCTCCCCATCCACCCATCACTTGGATGATGCAACTAATTTACTAACTGAATGGCTCTTCTGATAATGGAGACGTTAAATGTCAAGTTTATGAAACACAGGCTAAAAGCCATGGATAATGGGCAATAGTCTAAATTGCTAAGGCTCAAATCACAGTTTGGTGTATTGAGAGGAACAGAGACGCAAACAGGCAAAAAGCAGAGTTTTACTGCATCGCAAATGACAGTAAACCATCAGAGAATGAACCTGTAGATGCAGCTGTCTTGTTGGAAACCTATGAAACATCCATTATTACTCAGTAAATAGCTCCAAAAAATACCAAAAAAGCATAGATGTGCTTTCACTACTGGTTTTAAATAGCTGGTTTTCTCCATTATTAAGAATGCTACCTTTACAAACAGAGCTTAGCAGAACTGGTCCAGGGCACCTTCAACTCTCCCATTACTGCCATTAACAGCTATAAGGATACCCTATACCATCCATTTAGCTTTTTCAAGCAGCAGGACCACGAGGAGTAAAGCTGTGTCCTTAACCATTTGTCCTGTCCAGCCCACATTTCTCTTTACAATGGAATTTATATTGAGCCAAGAGCAACAATTTTTATGTCATATTCTTCTCAAAGTTTACCACCTGCCTGGCTCGCAGAGACAACAGGCTGCTGCCTCCCTAGTGATCAGCATTTCAGTGGCATCCATCTCCTCCCCGTGCTGCTCCCAGTCTGAGTTTCTGCCTGGAGGGGGGACCAATCACGACCTGCACTACTTCAGACTACACTACAGAATTTAGAACAGGGAAGAAAAAAATTCTGAGGGCCAAAATTTAACTTGTCTGTGGGACATGCAGAGGTGGAGAGATGGAGCACACAACTTTCTGACTTCAGGAAAACAGTAGCAGTGAGAAGCCTTTGACTCCTTCCTGCTTTGTACTGCTCTATAGCCTAAAGAAACTTGTGGGATAATTCGGGACCAAAGACGTCACCGAGAGTTATGAAAATAGCTTGAGTGCCTGGAAACCACAGTACTGTAATGAATCTCTGCATTGTAGCATCCTCCTGGTTGCCTTCATATGCTCTGTCCTATAGGAAGGCAACTTTACGGGGGTCTTCTAGTGGGGTTGTCCATTTGGCCCCATTCTGTGGCTCTTTGGTGTCACCTTTGGCCCTTTGCCCTGCTGTAAGTTACTGGCTCAGGACAGCAATCACATCCTTTATCTATAGGGTTTTTTTTGGGGGGGTTGCCTTTTTTTTTTTTTTTTTTTTTTAAATAGGATATTTACAATACAAAGGCAAAATAATGAACGTATATAAGAAAGGTACATAAGTCTAATCTTTCCTTTTGCACAAGGCCACTTAATGTGGTACCAGCAGCATGAATTTTGTTGTCAGCTACTTTACAGCTCGGTCCATTTCCAGAGTTATCAAAAAGTCTGTCAGCGTGTATGACATTTTCACCCTGATCAAAATGTAGAGAACAAGCACCCTTTTACCCTGACTCACACAACCCTGGCAAAGTCAGTGTTTTCTGATACAAGCATGTATTTGAATTTTAACAAGTTGCTTATTTCTCTTGATGCTTCTTAAAAAAAAAAAAAAAAAAGGCAAAGACTGTCTTCATCCTAAGAGTTATAATCTGCTGATACTCAAAAGTACTTTATTAAGTCTATGGCACTCCTCCTACAGATGATTCTGAAAGAAAATACCGTGTAGTGGAGCCATCTACAGGACTGTGAACTGAAATACAGACACACAGGATAAGCAGAGATGTGGGGAAGCTCTAGCAGAACCAGGAACCTGGCAATGACAGCAGCAGCAATATAAAAAATCATCATATGGCAGAAAAAGAACTATATATTGGATGCAATAATATGACCACTAATTCTTACATTACGTTATGAATGTGTGGTTATCTTCCAGGTTAGAAGATCAGGGCTTGCCTGTGTAGAGCAGTAATTAAAAAGAAAATAAAATGGTTTGGATTAACAAGAGAGATGTTAATAAGAAAATCTTACTCCCTAAAAAGTATTTCACCTTGAGATCTGCATTCGGGTCTTATCATTATCAAAAAGAGCCAGAACAAAGCCAGAAAGGCCACAGAAGTACCAATATTCAGAGAGCAGCATCTGTTTGAAGATGGATTAGGCATATTCGATTTGGAGAGCAGGAGATATTGAGGTACAGAAATCATGAGTGGGACAGAGAATGCTGAATGGGCAATCCTGGAACCTTCCCAACAGCACTTTAATAAGTAGGCATTCAGTGAAATTAAATGGCAACTACATCAAAACAGAAAAAAGTACTATACATTGTATCTATGCATATTTTACTAGTAAAACTCACTACTAACAAGATATTTCAGAGGCAACAAGCTTGGTAAGAAACATTGATTTTTTTTTTGTATGGCGATTTCTAGGCTCCCAGGGTGTTCTCCCTTGTGACACTTTTGATATGTCCCAGTAAAGTTTTGATATTGGTGTCTCAAGCTTATTCAAGAATTTTCACTACAGAAAAGAGATGCCAAGCACACTTCATAGCTAGCTGTGGGCTCAAACAGAACTAACTGCATAATGGATAAAAATGTCTCACAGCAAAACCAAGTAGGAGCAAACCCCAGGTAACCTGTGGCCCAATGTTAAGAGAGCGTTACATTATCAGAAAGTCATACCAGCTTTAAAAGTGCAGATAAATTTGCAGCCTTGTTTTTGAAACTGAGAAGTTCCTGCTCTTGAAGAGACATCTGTCTAATTACGTCTGCTTTCCTGCAATACAGACTTCATGAACAATACAAGTCATCCTCTCTCTGTGCCTCTAGGGTTGCCAAACCATTTCATGGCTTATTGGCAAATCCCTCAGTTCCTTGCAACTGCGATACAAATTTCCATATTTTTTTTCTTCTTGAAAACACGTGGATAATAGCAGGGAAAAGGGGCTGAAACATACCATGAGCACATTCAGAACATATCACTGTTACAGAAGCATGTTTACTTTGAGAAGACCAAGTGACATTCATAAATTCAATGGACAGGAACGCTTTGCAGACAAGTACTTGATAATACTTGTATGTGCAGTACATAGTCTTTCTACAAGTTCACTCAATTTACTCATGTACCTGTATAATGAGCTATTTTCCAGTGAAGAATTGCTGCATGATCCCAAAGAAACACCTACACTCATCTTTCACAGCTGTATGAGCTATTGGAGGGAAGCAGCAACATATTGTACCTATTCCAAGAATTTTAGAAATCCTGTTTTATTAAAAGTGTTACAAGCTGCAATTATTTAAACATTCTTTTAACAATTTATTTGTGTTGGCAGCAATTTCTGAAATAAACACTTTCTTTATGCCAAGAAATGACCCACATTTTAGTTTTTGGGTGAAACTCAAGTCAGTCAAGAACATGTTGACCTGGAATACAATTGATGAAACTATCCAGTTAAGATTTTTGACCAAGAGACAGGACATGGAAAGCAGCAGAGGAAATCTATAACAATGATTCATGTATTCAATAGCTTTTCAGAATGACTGAATTATGCCATGGAAGGAATGGATTAAACCCAGCAGTAATGCAGACTGCAGACTCACATTCAAGGTATAAGGTATAAAGATGCTGTAAAATGCGGTGGTAAAACCATTATTATAGCACCGAGCAATGGGTATGTATATTCTGCTTTAATACATTGAGTGAAAATCCCATCTTTCCATATCACACTTAGCTGCTCAGGCCAAATCAGGTGAAAGGCCATTTACTCCAACCAGGCTGAGGGAAGCACAAAAGCATACTGATGCCGTGGTTTTCCTCATCCCACAACAATATTCTGAAGTCTGCAAACAACCTCTGGAAGTCCTCAAATCACTCATCCCGTGGAAAAATCTAGGGCCAGATCGCTGGCCACAGCCCATCCGTGCAGTTCCACTGACTGAGTCCGTTTACAGTAGCCGAGAACTCATCCCATAGACTCCAAGGATGGACATTTGCCAAATGACATTAAGCTAATGATTTGAGGCTATAGAAGCATTATATGCAACTTAATTGCAACTAATTTTACTGAAATAATTGTAGCACGATGACTGCTGTTTAAGAGGTGATTGCCCAAGCAAGGAATTTCAAAAAAATCAGCAGCACTTTGTAGATGGTTAGGTCTCCCGATGTTTTCAGATACATGTTCCCATTGCATACAGAAGTCAAGGGAGGTTGTTCATACGCAGCTGGGGCAAAACTGGGCAACTACTGAGCCAAACTCCGACATTTCTAGAAGTCCTCATGGGTGAAGTTATGCACATGCATCTGACATCAGGTTTTAAAAAAATGGTAACCAAAGTAGGCCAATTGGGAGTAAATATGTGCTGTATATATGTTGCTCTATATGCACACAAAGTAGAATGAAATGCCATGTAACAAACAAAAGTATAGATAAATAAGAACAAGTGACTGGTTGCTTGTCTTTGATAGGTCAATTTGTAAATGCTGTTTTTTTAGCCATCCGACGTGTTGTACACAGCAGCCTCAGCAATCGTTTTCACTCTTTTTCTGACATAAAATTTCATGCAACAGTGCATCTTGGAATGATCCATAACAGTTCCTTAATACTGTGGGAGATCATAACACTGTAACACTTTTAATAATACAATAACCAAAAAAATCAAACTTCGGGGGAGAGAAAGAAATTACTTAGCAATTATTGTTTCACCTTGCCTCAGAAGCTGAGTTTTACTCTTGGTAATAAATAGAAGGTACACACTCTCCAGATTGTCTGTAACACTTTTGTGATGTATAATATGTGTACAATACACATTTGGTCTCTTCGTGTCTGCACATACAGTATCATTTCTGAACAAGTTGAAAATGGGTTATACTGTATTTTTGCTTTGCCCAATATATATAGATACACCTTCAGCAAAATTTCTTCTCAATATTTATACTATTAATTGGACCAAGTGACCAAAAAAAAAAAAAAAAAAAAAAAGATGAAGAGGAGGAAGAAGAAGAAGAAGAAGGGAGCTTTCTTTACACTTGTGTCTGGTGCTGGGTCTCCAGAAATGGAATGTGAACATTTTCTAGGTTGAGTTCCTCCACGCTTTCAAAGTCACTCATGGCTACTTCAGAGTCATCAAAGCCACAGCTGGCTGAGACGTCAGAGGAGGAGGCATCTAGAGAGTTGTGCAAGGATAAGGGCATCTTACCTGCACTAATGTTTTCTGTGTTCTGGCTTGGGCCAACAGCAAAAGTACTAAATTCGTTCCCAGTCTGAGGCCCCGTGGTGTCCGTCTCATTGGGGAACTGGTGGGGAGGGAGGTATTGGCTAGGGTGGAAATGTGGCCGTCGCCTGCAGTCGGGGCTGAGCGTACTTGCCATTGAGACTGGCTGCGAGGGTGGAAGGGTTTCATATTGGTCTGGATAATCCCCTGGAAGAGGAGGCGGCAACTGGTCCTGGCTTAAAAACTCCTCTTCGTGAGGGGGAGGGTAGTCGCTGTCAATGTCGTAGCCACCAAGGTAGTAATCCGTTTCCAGCTCTCTGGTACTGCCGTGATGAGCCGAGCCTCCATCCGCTGTCTCAAAGTTGGGCACTTCCTCAATGTCCGACAAGCGAGCGCTTGGCATCCAGTCAGAGGTATCCCAATGATACGCTGCAGCAGGAAAGAGAACCACAGCGTCCTGTTAGGATGAGGCTGCTAATGAAAACAGTGTCCTGCATGCACTCGCCTCTTAGTCCTCACAGCACGTTCAAATCACAGCATGCGCCACAGGCTATCGACACAGGTCAGCCATGCTCTGACCGGAGAAGTAGGGGAGGAGAATAAATTCTATGATGATGCTAATGCAAACAAGCAAAGAAACAAAACATGGCCACTCTCAGGCATTTCACTTTTTAAGATGCTACTGGGTTGTATTAGAAACTATGAGTTCAAGAAATCAAAATGATAAAAATCCCTAAATTAATGCTTTTCACAGTTAATTGAAAAAAATCTAAAAACTGAGTCAGCATGCTTATGGTATGACATCTAGTCTCCCCTTCCAGCTCCAATGACTTTGTTTCAAGAAAGAAAGTGTGCAAGCAAATAATCTGATCGACTGAAAACTGGATCCTGAAATAAAAAAAGTGGCTGGCCATTCTCATGCAGCATTTGAACCCAACAGAATTCAAACAAAAGAGGACACATGAAGCAGTCCAAGAAAAAAACAGATCAAGTCAGTGCCCTGCCCACCCCAGCCCAGTCCAACAGGCAGAAAGTGTCTCAGAAAAATCACCTCTGTTGTAGTTCTGTCCTTGATCCATAACAGACACTGTCAGATACAAAGTGAAAAGTAAAAACTGGTAACTCAGAGCTTGTTACCAGCACAGTATTACATGTGAAAATACAAAACTCTGCATGCATATTTCTAAAGTACAGCTGCCTCAGTGTCATTTTAATAGGATTTTAAATTGTTCTTTATTTTAGCGTACAAGATAAGTTTGCCCAGTAAAATGCAGGCATACATAAAAAAGATGACTTTGTCATGTGTATTATATTCCTTTTCTATCATATCTTATTTATTTACCCTCCCTGAACAGATATGGAATTACATTAGAGCTGCAATTCGTAATACAAAAAGGGCTATCCACCATCTCTACTGTTTATAATTGCAAAGTACATTTCTCTCTCACTGGTTCACTTTGAAACAGAAAAATAAGAATCTACCATTCTCAGGGCCGGTTCAAACAAATCTGGGCCCACCTGGGCTCAGATACCATGGTGATGGGCACGGTATAAGAACCTGAATAGAATAGAATACAAAGCCATTTAATGGGGCCGTCAGCTACAATGCCCCACAACCCCATACCCACCTCCCACCTGCACTGCCATGCTAGCCGTGGGGAGGGAGGCATTCCAGTATGGAGAGGGTGCAGAGGTGGGGGAGAGAGCAAGGGAAGAGGTTTTATGTAAGACAAGAGCGGGGAATAAGCTGCAGCGTTTTCTAGATGAGATGCTCTTGTTCAGCCACATGTCACTGGGCTTCATGCAAAAAGTCACTGGGCAAGGTCTCTGGTCTGCATTGCTGGAGGAGGTCTGGCCAGATGAATAAATAGACCTTGATGGCATTACAGTACTTAACCTCTGGGGCTCAGCCACAGATGAGGGCAGAGAACACTATTCTCCAGGCCTCCATCTACTAACATTACTCTTGCCCTTGGTTATCACCACATGGCACACGTGGTGATGGTGATTTCGTTGTTAGTTCGTTAGCCAGACAGTAGCTTTCTACGTGCTCTGTGTTAGCCTGGGGTGAGGAGGGTTGGGGCTACTGCAGGTTTAGCAGCAGTGTCTGAACCGGCCCTAACCACTCTTCTCCTTCACTTCTCTCTTTTCTGTAAAGTGGATTCTGCTGTCTTTTGGTCAGTGTAATGACATTGCACTCGGGATGCGTCAGGTCCCTCCGAGCTGTGTGGTTTCAGGATCCAGGAGAACCTCACTAATTTGCTGACCTGCACAACCCCCGGCAGCTCCCTGGGGAAGGAGCCCCATCCTCCCGCGGCTCCGCAGCAGCCATTCTGCCCACCATGCACCGGGAGCTCCGCTGCAGAGCATGCAAGGTTCATAAGTCTCCTATACAGAACTGGGAAGTGGGCAAAACATTTTATTGAAAGTGCTGCCAGACTGGCTTTTGCTGACCTGTAAAGCATGATGGGGAGACAATGTGTTTGCTTAAGCTTTTCTTTAGGAAGGCAAGGCCATTTACAGTGTCTGTGGTTTCTCTTCAAGGTTGTTTTCTTATGTTTTGAGTGGGGCTTTCCTTTGGAATTAACCTTGGTTAGTTCTTTTTATTTGATAGTCAGAAGAATGCACTCTTACACTTCAGGAAATCAGTAATTATATTATAGACAAATACTCAAGTGCCATCACTAGCTAGGAGTAAAAGTGCTGTTCAAAATTACCGTAACCCTGGCTCAAGAAAAAAATCAGTTGTTTCACCAAAAAAATTTACTTGATCATCTTTAAGCATTATGCAGACTGGATTATCTTAAGTCTGCAAAACCTGGCTTAAATTTGCCAAAGAGAGATAAAATTTTAGATTTGTGGATAATTTGAGTTGATGCTGAGTTGACATTTTCCCAAGGATAAGATAAATGCTGTATAAATAAATAAAATAATGTTTATCTATGATACATCACATTTCCTCAGTACTTTATGAGAGAGGAAAATAGTGATATTCCTGGTTTACAGGTAGGGAAACCAGTTCACTTGCAACATGATGTGCCTGAGGTTACCGAGAAGGTCGGTGGCAGAGCTGAGTGTTGGGTCCTTGACTTGAACAGAAGAGGATGAAGGCCTTGACACCTTTTCTACCACCTCCAATTACCCAGAGATATTTTGTGGTACATGTCTTGGTGTTTTCGTGTTTGCTGATGAACATGCTGATCTGCAAAACCCAACCTCTGCCACAGGTTTGCTGGTCAGTGGAGATTAGTGAGGTTCTGCTGGACTGTTTCACAATGAAAACCGGAAGCATTGTTGCATAACAAGAAAGAAAAAAAAATTAAATACCTTCATTTTCTATAGTGTCAACTACATTGTTGACAAGCTGTATGACAGTCACTATGGAAGCTTGCAGGGGAGGGAAAGCAGAAAATAAAGGGAGGGGAAGGACAGCTTCAGGTTAGTATTTAAACACACATCATATGTTATGACAATAAATTCTCTCAAACAGACAGAACTGACATTGAAAAAAAAAAAAAAAAGGCTGCTGACCAATGCATGATTTACGCAGTGGGTTGCAGGACATTTCAATTCAGATAATCCCATACATTTTCAGAGTGGTGATAAATTCCAAACCAGCATTTCCAGAGAAGCATATGGGATGATGTGTATCACCTCATAAATTCAAGCAGACTGGCCAGATGATTCAATTAACCAAAGCAGTATCTTGTCTGCCTGACACAAATTTCTAATTCATTCTTGCTTAAAGGTCTCCAGAGACAGTGCATTGAGCTCCAAGGGATCATTATCTTTTAGACCATCACCCCATCTGAAACGGTGCTAGGCTCAATCTATTTCCTAAGCGGAATGTTTTACTTGTTTACTGTTTGTGCTGTGCTGTGTAATACATCTGGGATGTGAAGCAGTACTGCTATAATTAGGAGGACACATCCAAGTAGGTTCAGTTCAAATTTTGATCTGTATTTGACAGAATATTTTCACAAATGCTTTGTGTGTTCTCTGCAGGTGTTTTACCAAAACATACTTTTCCCTTGAAATAATTAATATAGTCTGTGCAATTGCTTAATGTAGAGTCCAACAGGTCTACAATGTGTGGCCTCTAGATGATCTGCATTTTGGGAAAACTAACACCCCTGCCTTTGAGGACCTGAAATAAAACCCACCAAAACCAGGGGGAAAGCTCTGGTTCAGTGGGTACTGTCTCCATCCCTTTTCCTTTGACTTTAATTATGAGAAAAATGATTGCTTTGGAGCAGGCTAAGGAGGGGACCAGAAATGATGGGCAAGACATACTTTTTTGTTTCACACAGTCAATAGTCTTAGAAGTCACAAGAAAGATGTTAACAGTAATAGTGCCATTAGAATATAAGTTTAATATGTTGATGTCTTTGTTAAATTGTCGGCATAGGATCAAGGTTCTCATCCAATTTCTTCAGTCCTTTTGAAGGCTTGACAAAAAGGGCCTTGATAAACCAAAGAAACCATGATCTGTGTCTACGTTGAGCATGTTTATGACATCAACAGCATTGGTAATTGTACAAGGGAGACTTGTATTGGCTAATGCATAATGAACACTATGGAAAAATAAGTGACTTGATGTAATTAGCTGCTGCATGACTGGGAAAAAAGATGGAGCGCAGGTGTAAACTCTCAGAGGAGAATAACCAAGAGTGAAAAACAGAAGGCAAAAAATCAGAGCCAGCACAATCTTCATTGTAACTAAGGGTTGGCTCTGGTGGGAGCTGAGAAGAGCACGTCCATGGAAGGGAGGCAAACTTCCAGTCCAGGCAGTTCAGTGCAAATCAAGACCCAAATATAGCAGTGAAACAATCACTTAAAAACACACTTTTGTCATGCCTCCCAGCCCCATTCAAAGTAGCTTACCACGGAAACCTGTAACCTGCCTTTGAAGTGACTTCTCAAAATATTACCGCTGAAAGTGGGCAACTTCTTTTTTTGTTTTTTTTTAAATTTGTGGCTAATAAACATTTTTGCTTTTCGATCACAAAAGATACTGCTAACTGCTCTCAGCAAGACCAGGGGCGGTGAGCAATATAAGTGCAGTAGAAATAAGATGGAAAAAATAAAATTTGGTTCAAAATCACAAGCAAAAAAAGTCTGCATGGTGAGACAACCCCTATTTAACCCATCAAGAGAACGCTCCAAGCACTGTAGAGAGGGTGAGTGGAAGTTTCCTGCACCTGATACACACTGAACAGCGTAGGGCTGTTCACACCTATTCACACCTTTGGTGGGATGCATCCCAGTGCTTCTCTGGTGCAAAACAGGTTTTCCCAGTCAGCAGCGATTAACCAGTTTCACAAGATAGTGTCAGCACAGTCTTCTGTACGGAGCATGGCACAAGCCTGTCCCCACTGCCAGCCATGTCGACACCCGGCGGCAGCGTCGCTCTTGGCTTGGCAGGTGGGAGTTTGGAGAAGGAGCAGCCTGTTCTGTCCCCCCAAAAAGCGTGGATGCCCAATTGCATTTGTTGTGGTTTCACTGACAACCTTTTAACCTTTGCGGGGGGAAAGGACAGGAAGGGGAAGGATTTGTGGCTTCAAGAAGGACATCCATTAACCCTTATGTACATGTATGTGAGCGTGTATATGCTTACTTATGCCTGTATTTATATTTTAGGCTCTTTCACTGCAAAACTTCCCTGCTGCTGCAAGAAAACCAGAGGGTGAAGTCTTGCATCGACCTCTGCAAATGACTCAGATGATTTAAATTTCTTCCTGATTCTCCTTGAAGATATGGATTTGTTTAGACCCTGAACTAGAATTGTTGTCTCTAAAGGCTGTATTTTAAATGCAGCTTTCACAAAAAACGAGCGGGCACAGAAGGTCCAATCCAGCTTCAGTAGGTACTGTGTCACTGATTTAAACAGGGGCAGGATCAGATGCCTGAAAAATCTAATTAAAATCTGGGAGATACAAAAAGTAACCATGGCCAATAATGACCGCCTGAAAAATTATTCTGAAGGTAATTATAATACAAATATATATTAATAAAATAATAATTCTAATAATTATTCTATGAAACACTAAAGAGGTTTTTCTGGGTGGAGGGACAGAAAAGCATTGAGAAGATTGACAAAAATACTCAAGATACTTCAGCCACAGCTGAACCAAAAGGAACTGCAAGTACACTTTGCTTTAAGTGCTTTTTACAGCATTTAGGAGTACCTAGGGAAGAGCTGCATGACATGACTGAGAAACTGAATCTCCAGACAGTTCATTAACTAGTGACTGAGGAAAGTAAGTACAATTTCTTTGTGCTAATCTTTTTCTGTGTATCTGAATGAGGCTTCCCTTACATCCATCATCCCTCCCTGGCAGAAACATCTTGCCTTTTCTCAGACCCGCTGCTCAACATACATGGGCCACAGGAACAAAGGCTTGCTCTGACTTTCTAGGCCTCTTTCAGGCTGCGTATGGCTCTGCCCATATCACCCACTGAGATAATGATGTAGGATATGAGAGCAGGCAACGAACACGCACTGAGCAAGGATTTAACGGTGCTCTATTGTCCCCTGAGCTGTGATTGCCAGGGAGAGGCCAAGCCACCAGGGATGGGCTCATCCACTCATTGTTGCTGCTGAGCACCAGCAGAGTTTTGTTGGGGCCATGAATGAGACCTGGCAAACGGCACAGAAATTCTCTTTAATTTGGGAGATGAAACGTGAAAGTCATCCTTTTCCAAGAGGGAGAATGATCAGAATTCTACAGTTTCACTTGCAACCTATTAGTGAACTTTTATCTTGGCAATGTGACTGTTGCATCACACCTCTAACTCACTGTGAAGCCTGGTACTGATACAACAGCTCCAAGCATCAAGATTTTAATTATGTTACTGTAACTCAAAAAATGGACACAAAGTGCGGGTCTGAACTCAGGACTTTCTGACTTCTAACATCATTAAAGGGTCTTCTAGGATGTCACCTAAATATTTTTAATAATTTTAGAAAGATAGTTTAATAGCTTTGTCCCCAGCATAATGAAGATAAAACCATTTCTTACCATTATCATCACCCGAATCAGACTGGAAGGAGCTGAGGGATTGTACTTCGGAGTTGCTGCCTTTATTACTTCCTGCAAAATAGGTCACTTCTTCAGCATCATCAACCCCTTTACCTTCATTGACAGCAAAAACAAAGCAAAATGGTACTGTTGAGGTATGCACATTTGTCTATTTATAACATGGAGCCATATAAATCCTGCCAACAAGTAGCCTTCTATTATTTTTGTCAGAATAAAATTATTTCCTGCAGACAGAGGAAATGACCTATTGGTCAAGAAGGCAGCTGATGAAGACTAGACTTTTGAAGTGTTTGACTCCCAAAGTATCTTTCAAGTGGCTGACACCATTGTAATCAAGGAAGAAACATCTGTATTCAGTATTGCCTTTTTAGAGGACACATAGTCTCAGCAGCAAAAAAAAAATGATTGAAAAAATGTGGTATAAACATCTTATATGAGTGATTACAGTTACACTTATCTTTACTGTCAATTTCCTAAATTGAGAGTCTCATTAAAGGCTCATTCAATGCTCAATAAACTTATTGTGCATCTTCTTATCCAAATCAGTGGCCCTTGGATCAGATTTTAATGGCTCCACAACTGACATATAATAGCTTATGCTTCAATTTACATTGCTTTTCATCAGGGACATTCAGTCTTGACAACTCCACAGTTTAGAAATGTAACTGCAGCCTACGGTATAAATTCCCATGCAATTAAACACATGTGAATAAGCACATTCAGCTACACATTATATGATTGATAATAAGGAACACAAAACGTTATCCTTCAATAGTAAGCAGTGAGATAGATACCTGAGCTAATTACAAAGGAACAAGCTCAGGTGCTGCAAACACGTAAGTACAGCTCTCCACCTGCTATCTGCAGATATTTCTACCCAGCATGGGGCACCTCCATACAGTAAGGGCTGATTTGCTCCTGCTGAGAAGCAGGGTATGTAGTAGATGGAGCGAGTGCTGCAGTAACGAAGCTGCTCTGCTTCCCACTCCTTGACAGCTGAGGTCCGTCTCCATGGCGTGGCCTCATGCTGTGAAGAAATTTATACAGATACCAGCAGAGTCTGTGGCAGAAGCACCCAGGAGAATACAGAACAGAGCATGTACCGGGGCTGGCATGCTGATGCTTTCAATCAGCATAACTGTATTTAGTGGTTAAAAGGTCAGTCACAACACAACTGTGAAATACAGCTCTAAGAAATGAAAATTAATTCCTGTTTTTCACTAGAAGACCTTAGCCAATGTACTGCCTTACATTAAAATGTGCAGGTCAGGGCACAGCTATGAGGCAGTGCCAGATTCCTCTCTTTATTCCTGGGTTCCTATTGCCTAAAACTATGGGACTACGAAAGTTTCTAGATCATGGAGTTTTGACAGTTTTGGTTAAGGGTGTATTGCAGTTGGGTCAAAGATGCATTAGAAAAACCTACTAAAAAGAAAAACCATTATAAAAACCCCCTGTATGCTAAAGCAAATATTTTCCAGTCCATTGTTCAGCCCAGAGCAAGAAGGCTCTGAGGAGATGTAATAGCAGCCTTCCAGTACCTAAAGGGGGCTTACAGAAGAGATGGGGAAACAGTCTTGATCAGGGAGTGTAGTGACAGAACAAGGGGTAACAGTTATAAGCTGAAAGAGGGCAGATTTAGATTAGATATTAGGAAGAAATTTTTCACGGTGAGGGTGCTGAGGCACAGGCACAGGTTGCCCAGAGAAGTTGTGGATGCCCCATCCCTGGAGGTGTTCAAGGCCAGGCTGGATAAGGCTTTGAGCAACCTGGTCTAGTGGAGGGTGTCCCTGCCCATGGCAGGGGGGTTGGAACTCAATGATCTTGAAGGTCCTTTCCAACCCAAACCATTCTATGATTCTATGATTCTATATAACATGTTCTGACTTGCAAGGATAAAAAACGTAGAGCCGTAACTGTCCCAGCAAACTGGCATTTCCCGTAATGACAGAATATGTGAAGTTTGCTGCATCTCCAGAAACTTGTTCACGAATAGAAGGGGCACTGAGAAACCGTAAGAGTACAAATAGGGTAAGTGTGGGGATCAGAAATTTTGTAATCACTCTGATACTGAATGCAGATGGGAATGCAATGGACTGAAAAGGTGATCCTGTAAGTAGTGCATGATTTTCTGCTTCATTTCATAGACACTGGCAGTAGAGAATATTAGTTCATTTATCCCTGTTGCAAAACACGATTGCTTCTTGCAGAAGGTTGAAAGGTTTTTAGCTCCCTTGGGAGACAAACTGCCCAAACCTAGCAGAGTTTATATTTGAGAATTCTGCCTCAAATTATTTTTTCCAACAGAAAGATGACTGCATTGTGTCACTTGAAGAACAAATACTCAGAGCACTTACTCATATGTGTTTCTGAACAAGTGAAATAAATGCATTTAGTCATACTTAATGCATAGAAGTAGAGATCTGGTATGCTTAGTTTAATTATAACCTTTCAAAATTAAACCAAATCACTTCTCAGAAAAAAGTAACAACTGTAAGTGTACAAGGTTGGAGCATTAAGAGTACCTGTGCCACTGCACTTGCTGCACCCTGAAGGCAACCCTTACCTATAGCAGGGAAGAATGAGACTGGCATACAGTGGTACTTACTTTCTGTCCCAGCATCCCATGTGCTTTTCCTGAGGGAGTCGCAGTCGGAGCGACAGGGAGACACGGCAGGCAGGTTCGGAGCTACGCTGCACACCACCACCCCCCGCCTGGCTGTCAGTATTCGAGGGGACTCGGGATGAAACGTCGTCATCTCCTGGTGCTCCACACCAAGCCCATCCACTATCTTGTCCAAGTTATTCCGTGAGTCACTCTGGAAACACGGGGTATAGGCCATTGGCCTCACTGGGACCTGTGGAGGCCCAACCTCTTGGTAGATATTTCTACTGTCTCCGCTGTTCCTGATGTTCTTGAACTGGACGCCGTTGCTCTTGTTGAGCAGGGCGGCAGTAGCTGGATCCTGCACAAGAGTGATGTTGTTGCGGGAATAGTTCTTCCTGAATACTTTCTTTCGAAAGATGATAAAGAGGATGATCAACACAAATATGACAAACAGGACGACGGCTATTCCTATCAGCTCCTCCTTGCCGACGTACGAATGCCCAGCTTGTATATTTGGAACCACCACAGGGCGAAGACCACAGTATTGTCCCACATAGCCAGGGGTGCAGTTACACAGAAATGAACCAAATATGTTGACACAGGAGCCACCATTTTCACATTCTTCTCTTTCACACTCGTTGATGTCTTCTTCACACCTTAAAAGAAGAAAAGGAGAGTTTGCACTTTGGAGAATACCTGGCAAACAGCCCAGCTTGTAGATGATGACTTATCTTGTCAAAGTGGTACCATTACCGTTAACACCTTGCTGGTGCTTGGTAAATGATCTTATTATTATCATATTATTTAATGGCATTTATTTTTTTCTACAGCTATTCCATGGCTTTTTAAGACAACAAAATGGAAACATCAAGAAAGAAACAAGAATTTAAAGCACCTGATAGGAAAAGGCTCCTTGACCCTAATGTGACTAACTGAATGTAACAGGGAATCTCAGCCTTTTTGTATTTTTTTTTTGGACTATCCCACGGGTTTCAATATAGAGTATTAGGAGGATTCAAGAAGAAAACAGTTGAGAAAAAATATAGTAAAAAAATCAGCGAGTACTGATTTAAGACAAGAGAAGGATATACTGACTGTGTAAAATTATTTAGGGCTGGAGATAAAATGAGCAAATATTAGAGAAGCGGGGTAAAAATAAACCCCAGGAATCTTAAAGAGACACAACAACTGGAAAGAAGAAGAGGTGACTAACAAAAAAAAAGGCAGAACAAAAAGATGGATAAACTAGATGAGAAGGCAGAACTAGATGAAAAAGGTAGATAAACTAGATGAGAAAAAAGCATGTTGATGGGTAGGTCATGGGATTTTCTGTTTCTACACCAAATATACGATCAAGGCTGGGATTTTAAAAAATGAATGCAATAAATTAGGCTTTTATGTCAAGGCTAAGGTGACTAAATAATTGATCTATTTTCAAAAAAAAAAGATTACATAGCAGCTTCCACAGGCTTTATGGGATTGCTCAAAAGCCTCTAACACTTAGGTGTGCATATCTCAGTGAAAACTGTCTGGAGATAACATCCTGAAACAATAATTTAGGAAGCCAAGTTCAGAAAAGCATTTCTGACCATGCAAGCCTTATGGATTTCTCAGCTGCCATTAGCTTAGACTTGAAATAAGCACTAAGTTTTGGGTTATTTTTTTTCTAGATGAATCATAGCTTTTGACTACAAAATGCCCAATCAGAACCCCACCACCACTGACTTGAAAAGCTCCCGTTGTCCACCTGGAGAGGGTCACTTACGTTACTCCTGTCAGGCCATTTTTACAGTTGCAGATGAAAGCATTGCCGATGGGATCGCAGGAGCCTCCATTCCGGCAGGGATTTGGGAAGCAGGCTGTGATCTCCGACTCACAATTCCTTCCCGTAAACTGGGAGAGGCAATTGCACTGGTAACCTGGGAGGTGAGGGACACAGAGAAATAAATCAGAAGCCTACTACTGTATCTGTCCAGAAGCAAGTGGATCTATTTGGCTACTTTACTTCAAAAAATATATTGTACTGTGGGGGAAAGGGGATGTTTATACTCATTCTGGTATGTCTGTGTGGTCCACACTAACGCCAGTCGAGAGTTTGTTTATCTGGGATGTCTGGATAATTGGAGCTCATGTCTACAACCATGGAGCAGAGGAATTGCTGCAGCCCAGACCATCTTGATCACCATGATTCAGATAAGAATAAATGTCATCCAGGAACAACTTTGGTCACAAGAAATATTCTAGATCAAGGATGCATCTCCAATAGTTTTGAAAATACAGATCATATTTACTATTTTGCTGTATTTTTGCATATTTGCTATATGCATTTGATAACAGCAGCCCTCACTCCTTTAGGGGCTTCACTGAAGAACAAATACATGACCTGAGAGCTTTTCCACATCTGCCTTTCATAAGGACAACACAGTAGGGATGTGACAGTAATAAAACACTTGATAGTGGTATTTACCACTTTCATAAAGCGCATCATACAGGCATGAACGATCAGCTTCACAATATCAGCTGAATGGGACAACGCCAGCCCTAATCAGAGCTGATTATGTGCAGTGTGTGCTATTAAAAGACTGATTAATCACTGGCTGCAACTCATCAGACATAACTCCACTCAAGTGGAGGGGGACCCTGTACGGGATCAAAGTCCTACTTCCACATTTCTTGCCAACAGAGGAACAACATCAGAGTAAAAACCACTTCAGTTCACTCCGCCAAGTATCAAATGACAAATCTCTCTCTTTTTTTTTAATTTTCTTTCTGTCCTTGTGGAGAGGCACAACGGCACAATGCCATTAATAAAAACTTTATTTAAGATCGCAAAGAAATCCAGTGTGGCAGTGTGTCTCTTTATGTTGTGAATTGGATATTGAAATCTGAGTGCTTTTTCACTCAAAAAGAGCACGGAACATGTAGGTCGTGAAAGCCATGAGATGGCTAAGGTTGATTTTTTAGAATGCTACTTACACTATAGAAATGCTCCAAACAGATGTGTAGGCAAGGTTCAAGCTCCAGTTTTGGGGTTCACATACTTACTGAAGATCGCATATTGAGCAAATGGAACAAGGAACCTTCTTGCCGTTAATACTGCTGGAGTTAGAGCTGACATGGTTGAATGTAACTCAGTTCAGTGTCAAAATTATTGGAGATCAAGCTGATGTAGCTGAAATATCATCCCTCAGTGGTGAACTTCTAAAACATCTTTTAAAATCTTTCTATACCTATACATCTGAAAAAAACCCTTATGTAACTCAGTTCAGTGTCAAAATTATTGGAGATCAAGCTGATGTAGCTGAAATATCATCCCTCAGTGGTGAACTTCTAAAACATCTTTTAAAAAACTTTCTATACCTATACATCTGAAAAGAACCCTTATTTTAAAAGCCACCATTCTAGGAAACAAGGAATAGAATTTCATGTAAACAATACGGAAGGGCCCAGTGAAGGCATGATGCAAAAGCAATTCTGCATTAGGACTCCCACATCTTTTATGTCCTATCCAGTTCAATTTGCTTTGTTCGGTTACTCTAATTGAATTCTTTCATGAGGACAGGCTTTTGAGAACAAACTTGGAACCAGATTTGCTGGCATATTCAGTCAAGAGTCCAATCCTATTTTATTGAAGATAAATGAAATAGATACTCAAATATCATGCTGTTTCATTGTCCTGCTACACGAAGGGAGATAGAAGCACTGCTGTTTTCAAGGTTGCAAAGGTAAGAAGTGAAATGATTCGACTTTGGGGATTCCGAGAAAGCACATTTGGTCAGCATCAACAAAATGGGATTAGTTTTTGGTGTTTTACACAGATCTCACTCCGATAGTCGGAACAACTTTCTGCACCTGTAGAGATCTGTGACTGAAGAAATACAAAACAGTGACTGCACCAGGCATTGCATTTTGATGCCATCCCTACGAATGATTTATTATTAGTTTGCAAAGTAGCTGATCTAGAAATATTGTAGGTAGAAACCACAACATGAATAAATAAGGCTGTTTCAGTGCTTCATTTTATGACTGAACAGTGACATCTATAGTTCAAAAATTTACAGTAATGTTTTATATACTTTTTATGGTCGCAATGAGTTTGAGTGAAACGAAAATGTTAAATTCAAAACATTTTATTCATAAACAAATCTATTGCCTTATGTAATAGCAGAATAGATACATTCTTCTATTTGTTATCTGATATTTTAAACCTATATAACTTTAAAGTGACTTTAAAAAACAAATTTCTATACCTAAGTTACTAGTTGCCAATCATTTGTAAGACAAAGCCTTTGAATCGCTTTCTAGTCACCTCGTGCTTTGTTTCAGATGATTAAGTTCTGGGTTCCCACTCAGTAACATATTCTTTTCCATTTATTCACTGCAGAAAAACTTGAGAAATATTGATCCTTTTACCACTGAGTATAAAAGGAACAGGAATTTATTCATTATTATTGTTGCCTATTGTTTATATTAAAGATGCACTAACTTCAATTAACATTTTGTACTAAGAGGAGATGAAAGTGAATGCACCAGATGGGTCAGAGTTCCACTGGGCAACGTACAAACAAGACCAAAATGAAAAGTGTGCTTCTGAAAGCCTACATTTTTGACTGAATTTGATTTAATGATGGTGCAACATGGTCAAATATTAGAAGACTGAAGTATTCTGTATAGATTCTAAGTCTAGGCATCAAGGTTAGAAATAAAAATGGCAATAAAACAAGACAGTATTAAACTGCAACATTTATCACTGGCTTTTTCTTCCGTTGGAGGGAGGAATACACATGCCAGCTCTGAGCCACTGGCAAAAGACACAGAACCTTCCCGTGACACACATGCTCAAGAGCTGCAGAGCATTCACCCAGGAGGTCTCCAACCCAGCAAAGCATATGTCAAAATTTATGGAGTAGGGAAGTGAAGAGCTGATACAACGGCTCAATACACAGCACATACTGACCTGTCCAGCAGACTTGCCAGACCTTTTATGCTTCTCCAAACCTCTCAGCAGAGGCTTAATTTTGCCTGCTACTACACAGTGTAGCCACATGGCCATGGACAAAGTGCAATCGTAAAAAAACCCCTTTTGGTCAGGAGTGCATCTTAGGTCTAACAAAGAGTTTTTATTACACTTCTAATTTAATATCCAGGTAATGTATCATGCATTTCTTCCCATCTGTTTAGCAAAAGACGACATAGCGCTGAAGAAAATGCTAAGTGCCCTGTCCTTTCAGCAGGGGATGAAAACTCCTTTCAAGCAATCTAAGGCTTGCTCCTGTTCACAATGAAGGCACTGGAAGTCTTAGAAGTTCATCAACATTTAAGATCATACGGTTCATTTGCGTTCCCTCCAAGAGATATGAATATTTCATTTTGCACACTGATGCTGGAAGATGTTGATCCGCCTTCTCCAAGGCAGCAAATTTTGTGATGTCACCACTGTACTTCTTCAGAGGAAACCAGTGGAAAAAGACAGAAAGCTCTGGTAAACACATTGTGATGCTGCTGGGGTGGGACCACAATACCCTCAGCATGTGCCATAATAGCCTGTACCCACAGCTGACCTAAGAGCACCAACAAGCTACGAACAATGACATTGCCCAAGCCTGGCAGAGAAATGGCAGTGGGTCTGTGGAGCAAAACAGCTGGTGCTGAGGACCCAGGACCCTCAGTGTACATGTTTCAGGGCTTTAGGATCATGTTATCTCCACTCCCGGTGCACGTCTTCCAGCTCAGCACCATCCAGAGGGAAGCCTGGTCCTGCCCTCTGAGACCTCACTTCTTTTCAGCAGGAACCGAAGCACAGTGAGAGGGGATGATCAGAAGATTCACATCAAAGCTCATCTGTGATCTAAAACATTTATTTAGATATAGCCCTCTCCTGCCTACTCACAGTCTTGCACTTTCTGGTTGTTTTACAATGCTCCTCCAATAATCTAAGTCCCCACTACGTATTTGAGTCTCATTTTCTCCCTTTGACTCCAACAGCTTCCTTCCTGCCTTGTTGGCATGTCCCCATCCAGAGGAAAAGGGATTTTTCAGCCCAGCTCTTACTGAAAAGCAACATACTGTAAGCGAGGACACAACACAGGCTGCCTGCCTACACCTATGTTTGCTTGGCCCTTAATAAGCAGAGGCAGCGGCGAAAGGCAGGCACAGTGCCATCAGCAGATGGGATGCCGTTATGCAGCGAACATCTCCGTTGGCAGCGTTGCCAGCCTGAGCATCTGAATGTCTGTCTAGCCTCAGGTTTACTTGGCTTTATTAAAGTGGATGCTCCGAACTGCTGCCAGTTCTTTTCTTGAACATGTGTATGCTCCTGTTTCTATCTGTCACATGCAAGAATAGATGGCTTTTATCTGTTATGAGCTTTAGCTTTTTCATTTGATCTCTCTCTGTGGTTTCCTTCCTTGCTATACAGCTTGACCTGACAAACTCGATGCCCAGAAACAGGCCTGCCCTTGGCCCTGCTCACTTAGTGTTTTAGACAAGTTAACTGACGGGAAGAACTGAAGGTGAAGAGAACCTCTCCCAGCATTTGTATTTTGGTATGTTTATAGACATACCAGGTCACCTTCAAGAACTGTGTGTTCTTCAGCCATACATGTTCCTGTCACTTCAGATTTAACTTGTCTTCAGACAGATGATTGCCTCTTGCCACTAGTTGGTATGAAAATGAACCTCAGTCTTTGTTAAACTGGTGCTTTCTATTAAAGAATTGGCGTGTATGTGCTTTGAAACTGGGAATTTAAATCCAGACGTCTAAAGGCATATAGCTATAAAAAAGATTAAAGCCCCCTAAATTTCTAAAAAGCTTTTAAAAAATTAACTGATGTGCATTTGGCATGCTAACATTACAGCACGCTGTTTTGTTCGTGTGTGTGAAAAAGCCAGATCAATAACATATGTAACATCAGGTCAG